TGGAGTAGCTGGAGTCTATGAAGAACGCAACATCAGGACTGGAGGCAGACTCATTAACAACTTGTGATATGCAAGTGATACACCTTTGCTTGCTAAAACTGATGAGGACTTAAACCATTTACTGATGAAGATCAAAGGTTACAGACTTCAGTTTGAATTATACCTCAAATAAAGAAAAACATCTTCACAAGTGGACCAAGAAGCAACATCATGATAAAGACAAAAGAACGGCATCGTCAAGAATTTCATTTTACTTGGATCCACAATCAACATCATGTAGACAGGCAAGGCAAATCCGCTACAGCATTACAAGCAAAGATATGTTATCTTGAGTACTAAGATGCTTTTGACCCAACCCGTGGTGATTTTTAATTGCTTTATTTACCTGTAAAAGCTTGAATAAATAAGGAAAACCAAAGAACTAACACCTCTGGGTTAAGGTGTTAGCAAAGAAGATTGAATCGACCATAGATTGCTAGAATGGGCATCTCTCTTGGAAGGAGTACAACCAGAAAGCTCTTTAGAAGTGAGGATAGCCAGACTTTGTCGCATGTGCTTTGGATATGTTATCAGGAGGGACCAGTCCCTGGGCAAGGACAACACATTGTTGAAGTAGTGAGTCAGCAAAAAAGAGGATGATCCTTAAATAGATGGATTGACACAGGGGTTGAAACAATGGGTTGACATACAAGGAGGTACTGAAAAAAATAAACCAACGGAAAAAAGTTCCTCTGGAGCCTTCACAGTACACTTTTTGCTTCCGTAGTACGCATTTTTCCCACTAGGCGAGCATTGAGCAACTTGCTCCAAGTTAGTGCATCCAGTGATGTCACCTGGGAAGGTTCTCTCTGGTCACAGTGAATTTTTTCATGAAAGCAGTTTTGCTCGAACCTCGTTTTTGGTGATGGCCAGTTTAAGAGAACAGCATGTGGCTGTGAAATTTTGTTTCCTGCTCAGGTAAAATGCCACAGAAACTGTTGTGATGCTGAACATAACTCACAAGGACGGTGTTAGGGGAAAAACTCATGTGTACCAGTGGTTTTCTTGTTTCAAAAAAAGTAAAATGTTGATTGATGGCAAACCTTGCTCTGGATGTCCATCAACTTCCTGAATGGAAGAAATGTCGAATCATAGTGCATTTGGAGGTCCTTCTACCAGGTCACACTGTTGATCATGTTTTCTATTTAGAGGTTCTGAAAAGATTGCACACCAGTGTGTGACAAAAAAGGTCTGATTTGTAGCAGACTGGGGACTGGTTTTACCACCACGACAATGCACCTGCTCACACAGCCATCTCAGTGAGCCAGTTTTGGGCAAAAAACAACATGCCTCTCTTGCCCCATACACCTTACTCACCTGACTTTGTTCCATGTGACTTCTTTTTGTTTCCACGAATGAAGAGTGACTAAAAAGAACAGCGATTTGATGATGTAGATGAGGTGAGGGAAAAAAACGTGGGAGATGCTGTCAGCTATCCAAACAGATGAGTTTGAAAAATGTTTCCAAGAATGGAATAACTGATTTGACAAATGTATTATGCGTAATGGAGAGTACTTTGAAGGTGATAAGGTTGTTTTGCAAAAAAAATTAAATACTTAAATTTGAAAAAAAAATTTCCATTTTTTGGGGGGTACCCCCTCATATAGTAGTTACTGTGAGCAGGATTTTGTTTTATGGTACAGAAGGTCGCTGGAAGTTGGAATGTATTCAGCTGTATCTGATAACAGTAAAGTAGAGGATACGGGGCAATGTATTTGGTAGTACTACTTATATAACTGGTTCCCCCAAACTTGAGTGTTTCTGTATTCAACTTTGGGTATCATCACTGAGCAGAAGGAAGTCAAATCAATTTGCTCTAAGACAATCTGGATGTTAAGTAGGGCAAAAATTGTGTCGCATGAGAAAAGGAAGACCTGCTCAGAGGCATAACAGAGCAAGACGAAAGGTGACAGATGAAGATTTGGATGGATTCTGCATGTCCCTAAGCAGAAATGCCACAGAGATGCCATGCTGCTTGCCAAATGTGGCTGCTACCTGGGGAGAGGAGGGGAAAGTATGTGGGCAGAAATTCAGTTCACAGTTCTCTTGCTGATCCACGTGCCTTGGTAGAAGCTGAGTCTACATGGAAGCAGGATAGATGTCTTGTAATTCATATAGAGGGTACATTTCTGTAAGGCTTTACTTTCTTTCACTGAGAATATTTTTTCTAATTTACCTAAAGGCACATTATAGATTCATAGGAACATTGGCCCAACCTAATGTACAACAGGGTCCACTAAGAAAAGCTTAGAGCATAAGCAGTACCGGTGCAATGTAAGAAACTGGTGATGCAGTAGTTAAAGAACTTGGCCACTAGTCAAAAAGCCAGCAGTCTGAACCCACCAGCTGCTTGAGGGAGAAAGATATAACGATCAATCTAGTACTACAAGGATTTACTGCTTCAGAAACCCAATGGGGCAGTCTACTCTGTCCTTACAGGGTCGCTGTGCCTGGCAAATGTCCCCTCCCTATCTCAATCAAACAACATACTGCACTGGGCAAATCTGCTGTGACAGATATCACATCTCTCTGTCCCTAAACTGAGAAGGTTTGATACCCGGGATCTTGGGGTCCAAAGGGCAAGATCCACTCCTGGCTCTTCTTTCTTGCTAGTTATGAGGTCTCCATTTCCTGCTGCTGGGGTGGCTCATTTTATACCTTGCAGGATGGTAAAAATGACAACTGGGACAGTTGAATGCCAAGTTTTTATAACTGTAATTAACCCTATTAACGATGGCTCTTCCTCCACTTTCCCTAACCACCAGGAAGAAGTCCTTGGGTGGAGTTACAAAGACTGGCCAAGGCAAGCCAGATGAAATAACTCGCTGCTCGCCCGTGTGGCTTGTCTGAGTCCCTGCCTCCCCTGTAGCCATCGTATCAGAACCTTAGCTGCTAGCGGGTGAGGGTTTACCTGTCCTGTGTTTGACCCCAGCTCTCCTTAACTGAGCTGTACCTCATACTCAGCGCCTGGTCTCTTCCAAGAGATACGCCTTTTAAGAAAACTCTCGCCTTTGAAAAAGAACCTTTAATAAATCTGCTCCAAATCCCAAAACACCAAATCCACTGCCATAGAGCCGATTCTAAATCATAGACGGTGATCCTACAGGACAGAGTAGGGCTGTTCCATGGGGTTTCTTAGGCTGTAAATCTTTATAGAAACAGGCTGCCATATCTTTCTCACAGGGAGCAGCTGGTAGTTTCGAACTGCTGACCTTTTGGTTAGCATTCCAATATTTAATCCATGGTACCACCAAGGCTCCTTCAGTTAGGACAGCCCTTCAGGGTCCTGTTATCAGGAGCTTCCAATCCCTGGAAAAAATATCACACTTGGTAAAGTAGAGGGTCAGGGAAAAGGAGGAAGATGGATGATGAGATGGACTGACACAGTGGTTGACACAGTGGTTGCAACAATGGGCGCAAACACAACAATTGTGAGGCCTAGGCAGTGTTTCGTACTACAGTACAGCAAAAACCAAACTGAGTCAAGTCTGATTCACGGGGACCCTATAAGACAAGGTAGAACACCCCCCTCTCCCCCCAGGCCTCCTCTCTGCAGTGCTCAGGATCGCTGTTAGAGCTGACTCAGGGGCAACTACCAAAAACAAGCCCTTCATAAAGAGATCAGAGAAGAGAGAGAAGACCTAGATCCCCAACGCTGCAAAACCAAATCGTAACTGTCATCGCAAGCAATACATCTCAGAAGACACAATCAGATGCCACACCATTACTTTGAAATCACATTAGAGACAAAATAATACAAAATGCCTCAAGCAACACTTATGAAAGATGCTTATAAAAGCAAAACCACTGAATTGATATCATTAAGACAATTTCCCCCAAATTGTTAAACGAAAATGTATGCTTTTTAAAAACCACAGCTTTTTTTCATGTTTCAATAATCAACCTTGATCAAATTATGTTCTTTTGGTTACCTTATTAGGCTCTTTAATAGTAGTTAAGTCTTTCTAGCAGAAACCCTTACATATAGTGGGCACATACATATATTTATGGGGGTTGGGGATGCCTGTCACTCCTGCTTCAGTTTCAAGTGGCTGACAATTACTCCTTCAAAAGTGAACATATTATTTCAAAGTTTCCCTCATTTGAATATTTTGAAATCCTTCTTCTGTAAAGAGTTATAGTCTCGGACACTCACAGGGGCAGTTCTACCCTCTCCTCTAGGGTCACTATGAGTTGGCCTTAAGTTGATAGCATGAGTTTGTTTGCTTTCTCCTTGTGCCCCATTCATTGGTGAGAGGGCAAAATTGCCTAGCAGAGCTCCCCACCATTTATCAGCGCACCGGCCATCTGAACAACCGGGGGAGGGTTGCTCACATACACTCAGGCTCTGTAGTTGCCGAATGTAGGTTATGATCTCAGAGTTGATCAACGTCATAGCCAGAAGAACATATACTTTATCCCATTTTGAAGCTGATTAGCGAGTATCAACATTAGATTATGAAATCTGATTAAACAAATGAAAAGAAAAACAACGATAAAGGTAAAGGCTTGAGAAATTTTTCAGGAAGAGAAACAAACAAATAAACAAAAAAACGGACTTTATATAAAGAGTTTCCATTTGGAATACTGGGCCCTAAAATTATCTTTCTAGCACACATATCTCAAAGATTATAGGAAAAGAAAAGAAGAAAGACAAACTTAGAATGATTTCCTCTATTTATGACAAGATTCAGGAGAATCTTTACGGGAAGGTATGGGTAATCCAAGGAAGAAATCATGGGGGAAATGAATGATTTTTTAAATGGTTCCAATCTGGCTTGCCACCTCTATGCCTCCCTGGAGGCTCTCGATGTGAAGCTGAGATAAGGCTGCTGAAAAGTGTAGGGGAACCTGGCCTGTTCCTCTTTGCCCAACAACTCTACTACATACAATATTTCCCCCACATCATGACAATACAGTCCCTAGAAACACAAGAGAGTGAGCCGACATGGAGTACTTACGTTCACACTGTATGACATCTAAGTTAAACTGCTGAACAGCTCCCATGCTTATCTGTTTTAACTCACTGTCCAGTAGCATCTGCATTAAGGCTGTTGACAGATGCTGGCAGGCTGACATGCAAGCTGTCTGGGCAACTTTCCCCTGTTAAAAAAACAAACAGCCAAACCAAAAAACAAATAAAAAACACAGAAATACTTCATAAAGTCTCAGGAAAACGACACACACCTGGCATTCTTCCTGTTGTTGCTTTTAGCACAAAAATGGTGATTATCACCCTGTCTGCTTCTGTATTCTGAGTAGTTATGCCTTTATCACAAGAATTAAATTTAATATTCTTATGCACTCATCCTTCTCAAGATATAAATATCATTCAAGCTCTCATTACACAAAATTAAGATATAGATTTTAAAATATTATTATTTCAGATCTCTTAAAATGTCTCATGTGTTTAAAGTGCATCTGAAAATATGGCACTGTAATGTATAATAACTGGCATAACACCAGATCATGAGACTCATACAGCGCTCTGTAAGTCCTTCTTTATATGCTTAGCCAAACCAGAAGAAAATAAATTAACAAACAGCATAATTATCTCAACTGCAAAACTTTTAAATTTACTTTGAGTGATCCTCTTTCTAATCAGAACATTAATGTGCAGCAGTTTCAGTTGAGGGGAAAAAAGACTTGCCTATAAATGCTACTTCAAAATCATCAACAAATCTGCATTTAGCTTTAGAAATTAGATTTTGTAACCATCTGATCATCTAAAAATATGTAGTTAAGTGAAGTATAAAGATTGTGATTTTCTTTCACTATACATGGTATCATTCGCTGGTGACACTTTGGGCAAGCACTGGACTTAAGCTAACTAACTGCAAGGTTGGTAGTTCAGCCTCACCAGCTTTTCCGGGGGAGAAATATGAAACTGTCTCTTCCCAAAACGATGAACAGTCTCAGCATCCCGTAAAGGGTAGCTATGAGTTAGAAACTATTTGATAGCAGTTATTTTTAAATTTGTTTTTAATGGACAATATCGAACCATATTTTCCACTAGAATAAGCTCTTACAGTTCTGTGTGAATGTTCACTGTTTTCTTTGGAAATGACAAAAATGTTTACCTTCTAGATTACACCATTGAATCACACCACTATATTTATAGCATAAACAGCTTCTTTAAATAGGCTTTGCATTTCAATTAGAAGTTTAAAACATATTATAAACACTCTCAGGTAAAGTTTTCCAGGGCAGCGTTGCCTTCAACAACTTGAGAAGATATGCTATCTTTTGCTTCATCAGTGTTAACAAACTGTTACCACCAATATTTGTTAATTGCGTGTTTGGCTACTTATCATAAAGGCCAACAGGGTTACAAAATAATGAAAAAATAATTTCAAACATAAATGCCGTAATAAATTAGTACAAAGTGTTTACACAGAACTACTTTGTTAGAAAGGGAAGAACACATTTTCAAGATGTGTTTAATTAAGACAATGTTTGTTCTTTAAATTACAGTTTAATTAAGACAGGCTAGAAATAAGGAATTTTTATGAATGAGTCTTTAGCATTTAGACACGATGCACAGTGAAAACCTGCATATCTGAAATGGAATGTCAATTTCTCCATCAAAACTGTAGAGATAAAAGCCAGTGCAAACAATATATTTGACAGATACTGATGAACTGCCAAAAAGGAATGCAACAAACCATGCAAGCTCAGCAGGCTTCAGGGTCCCAGCCCAAGAGGACTTAGTTGGGGAGACATGCAGTTCCAGTCCCCAAGCAGAATCATGACAATATGAATGGGGGGAGGGGGTCGGAAAAGCAAGAAATCAATGGCATGTCATTTAATTACATTGTAACAGGCTTAAAAATACTTAATGGAAATGTCATTTTGACTTAAAGGAACAACTAGTGCTTTTTCATTTTGTGTAGTTCTCCATCAAATCAGCTCCATGTCCTACTATGTTGCCACTCGGATGTACGATTGTAACAGCAAACTAATACAAATGGGAAGGAAAATAAATTAGTGATTAAATGTGCTTTGTAAGTAGACAGACTGCACAATATAAGTGGTATTATTTTAAAGAAACGTATACATTTTCATTTAAGTTCAAGAGCAGCAAGTGATGACGCAGACATAGTACTGGAACTGAGTGATGAGAGGAGCACAGAAACACAGGGCAGTTTATAAAGCTACTGGAAAGAGTGCAGTAATGAACACACACACGTGCGCGTGCATCCAGCTCTTTATGGACACGACACAGAGAATGATAAAAGCCTAATAGTAAATTTCTTTTTATTAGACATTACTAAATACAGGCTTATTGTTCTCAAAGGGAGAAGTTTAAAATATTTAGGAAATAGTTAATAAATCTTCAAATGAAATAAATTCTTCCTTTTCATAGCTCAGAATTCAAATTAATAGCAAAGGTTCAGAGTCTTTCAATTTTTAAAAAGTTATTCTGTGAGCTATTGCTATACTTAAAAGAAAAATACACTGCAACCTAAGTATAAAATGTGTACCACTATTCTTAAATTCAGGTCCTGCTTGTTTTCGGGTAACAATTTTTTTAATACTCCAAAAATCTGCATAACTAAAATACAGCTTAGGCATTTCAGTTCTCAAGCTTTTGGCCCTTGGCACCTTTGGTAGAAGCAAAATATCCTTTAGAACAATATTTTTTACTAATATTGTTGGTGTTCTTAGTACTTTACGCTTTCTGGAATAATAAAAAAATTCAGTACTTTTGTTTTTTAATGTTCTAACAAACATAGCCAAATTAATGTAGCGATGTATGACTGAGAAAACACAGCATGCTGAATACATTCCAAGCACTGAGAAGTTTCTGCTGCCCTCATCCTAAAAACTAATTACAGCTCTGATTCAGGTTTCTTTCTCTTGAACAGCACAAAGCTAAAAAAGAAAAAAAAGCATCATAATAAGTGAAAACACCTGCTGAACTTTTAAAGGTAACAACTTCTTTGCCCTGCTCTAGCATTTTGCTGAAAAAAAACAACTTGCACAGAGAGAAAACCCTGAGACAAACTTCTTATATTTCAAAGGGACTTGTAAAAGAGAATCTGCTGACATATTAGATCCTTTTTGCATTACCCGACAGCTTTTCTTTTAAGAACAATTGTGGTAAAGAGACATTCGGCTCCTAGGCAATTCCCAGAGGGTCAGCCATATGCATCCTTCCACGGCACCCTCACAGTGCTGCCTTCCAGAGCCACGTCTCAAAAGCAGCTTTCCTCATTTACTTGTGTGTCAGTCAATATGATTTATGGACTGCATTCAACAAAGTCGAGGCATATAGAATGAGAAATATGACTACAATCTGCTAATTTGTTTTGTATTGAGCCACTTAAGAGTCAAAGACCTGATGTCAGACTGGGAACGGCAACATAATTAACCAGGCGGTGACAGATTCATCCATCCTCCCTGCCAGGCTGTGCCAATCAAAGACAGCAGGAGGCGACATTTGGTGAAATCAGGAAGAAAACGCATTCTCTATGTAACCTATGGGAGACCTTGATTGACACTTTTTGAATTCAGCTTCAGGAACACAGCCACTCTTTACCCAATAGTCCCCCACTGCAAGCTGTGAAATAAGGCTTTTAATGCCAATCACAGGAACAATAAGCCACAAGCCACCAACCCTCAGCCTGAAAAGAAGCAGGAAAATTCATCTGTTTGTATGTCAAGCCAAATTTCCAAAATAATTTACTATTAGAGATTAGGCTGAAGGTACCTGATTGCCTTTGAAACATGGCAAAATGGCACAGTTAACATCTCAGACGCTTTGAGGTTACGGCTCACACTGTTTGGGTTCCAGAGCGGTGTTTTGATAGAGCTGCTCTTGTAATGCCATAGGAGGAGAAATATGGATTACCTCAAAACTCATTTGGCACATTCAGATTTTTCATTTGAAGTTTTCGTTTCTGTCACGCCATTCTCTTATTTCAAAGCCCTAATAAAAAGGAAGGTTTGATTTCAACAGTAATTATTTGAAAGCGTTTCTCAATGCGGCTTTCATTCTGTCAAGTGCATTTAACATAAAAATGTGCTCTTGAAATCATAACCATGCTTTCGGTGCTGGTCTCCTCTTCCTTAATGATCAGAGGAGAGCCTTTTCTCTTTCATGTCTGTCCCCACACAAGGTCAAGTCGGCCAAGTAACTTCTGTCGTCAGTAAAAAGAAAGGCCCAGGCTCTGATCCTGGTGCACCGTATTTACTATCCTTTACATTGATATTTTGCTGTAAATGATTATGGAGACCTTGTCAGAAAAAAAAGGGGAAAAATATGACCACTATGAATCTTCAACCTAACCTTGGTCAGTCACTGATTAACTCTGAGTTTGTGTGGTTTTTAAACATTATTTATAATCAAAGCAGAAAAATATGGCTATTTTGCACAGGCTCGCTGCTTCTCAGCTTGCTCATAACGTCATACATGTAGGTTATGAGACAGTGAAATGGTCTTTCCAGTGGGGGGGGGGAGAAGTTTCCCGGTGAACTGGTCAGTCTAGTGAAGAGCTACAACTTACAGTCCTTTAAAATGAGTACAGACCTTAGGTGAACATCTAAAGAACATACAAGAAATTCTTAATTGACATATGAAAAACAGATGTCTAGCTGAAGGAAAAATAACACCTCAAGACATTATATAAACGATGAAAATTTCCCCAGAATGATCAGAGAGGCCTAAGGATCCTCAAGCTGTAGGATGGATTTTAATATATTTTCTGGCTGAACATTCTGTATGTGAGTACAACACTCAAATATCAGATCCTTAAGAATACAGATGAATACAGAATAATGAGTTATAAAGGTTTAACTATCGAGATGAATAGTGGGTTTTAATAATAGCTTTAACACTACCTTAATACAGATTTCTTTTTGTAAATTCAGTCAAAAAATCCATAGTTCTATCAAAATCACTACCACCCCAAGATTACTCCCCAATACTTATTTTATTCTTTTACATTCATTCCTCTTACACACCCTGGTCCCATCTAACTACCCCATCTAGCCTCAAAAAGACTTGGTTCCCTTATCAGATCCACATTCTCCATGGTTAATTTTGAATTCTCGTCCTTCCTTCCTCAGCCTTTTCTCCTTCTAACAATTTCCAGTCATAA